AATAAAGCCTGAAATCAAAGAATCCCAATTCAAATATACATTAAAATAAGACATGAACCAACTGCTCACAAACTGGCAGCCAATTACAAAGACAAATTCACTAATGATCTTACCAGGATTCATTCGACACTCAAACAGCGACTTCTCCGTTCCTTTGCACTGTAARTCATCCAGCATAACTTTACCAACACCTGGGCCGTAGTAGCCACTCCGTTTGAAAAATTTATGTTTTCCCAGCTTGAGTTGACGACACGCAACATCAGCATCTTTCTCGTCAAACCCATCATCGCATACGGTGCCCCATTGGCCGTTATACTTAACYTCCAGTCGACCATACAGTGTCTGGTTGGTGCCCGCCAGACGAATATCATCAACGCCCTTAATRAGAGTCGAGTCTTTGCAGTTATCAACACAGACGTTTGTCTCTGTGTCCAACACTTTGCTAGACTCACACGATGTGCAGTTATCCGGGACTCCAAAGCACGACATACAGCTAGAATTACACTGCTTACATTCTCTAGTGRTGTTGTCTGCGTAGAAGCCGTCGCCRCAGTCTTGGACGCAAGAATTGCGTATCGAGGAACGGTTAAGATATTCGTTCGACTCGCAGGTCTTRCAGTTGTCAGGACTGATTTCGCAGGTTTTACATTCAGTACTGCATCTCCCACAGGTATTGCTTAAAAAGAATTTATGTACGGAGGGTTAAATGTGTTRATAGAAACGACTTACTTAATGTAGTAACAAAATATATCTAAAACGCAACGTATAGATTCTAAGCAGAAGTACTTCTGTTCTAAGCTAACAGTCCAAGGCAGTACCTAGAGAGAAAATAATTAGGTAGGAGAATAACGCAAATGTCACGTTAGGAACACCAGCCAAACGTAACGCAATAACAACGTAATGCAATTTTTAGCAATGCAATGTAACACAAGGCAATTCCATGTGACGTACCATTGCTRCRAAKGTTGAAGTAAAATTCTACTCCGCGGGAACCGGAAAAAGTCAAAGGAAGGAAAACAGAATGTGACATTACATTACTTGTGTCATTTCGGGTTCCATATACACYTAATTGAAAAAACGTAGTAGTGTTCGAAAAGGTCACATCATAGAAGATAAGACCGAAAGGGATTTTGAGCACCACTAAATTCGGATTACATTTGAATATACGGTGTACACTAAGCAAGTAGAGCTAGTAAGATTAACAGCATGATAGTCTTTTATGCTGGAGAGCTGTTTGTTATGAAACTAGMCAAATTGYTTGTCTTCCCAAGTGCCCTTTCGGTCTTAGCTTCTATGATTTGACCTTTTTGGACCCGACAACACGTTTCTTCAATTTGGTGTATACACTTACTTGTTAAGGAAGTACCCATCGATATCACACCGTCTTATGCAGTCACGTGACTGATCTGGACCAGAACACCGAACACCTGCGTCTTCGCTGTGTTCACAGTTCTCCATACCCCAACCACGGTGAACACACTTTCCSAGCGARCTCTCGGTACCTGTTAAACAAAATAACAAGAGCAGTGAATTTCTTTGGAATAAGCCTCTTTCCAGTTCACTACGATCGACCGCTGTTTTAGTAGACAACAGACTCACTTGCGCAGAGAACAAAAGAAAACACAAAAAATGTTGACATTACAATAACTCTAGAAATTTGAATCTTCTCCGATTTGAGGCTTAGCCTGAGCAAGAGTTTGAACCTTCTGGGAATACAGAATCGGAGAGAAAATGCAAATTTATAGGGCTATTGTATTAAATGACAACATTTTTTCGTGATTTCTTTTGAGTTTGSTAAAGTCTTTGCGAATGAGAGACTGTTGTCAACTAAAGCAGCGGTTGCTCGCTTTGAACGGGAAAAATGCGTATTAAAATCTACACATGAAACACATTGAATATGGAATAACTGATGGCGTCCTTTTAAATGTAGCGTCACTTTTTATTCGAGTAATTATTAGTTTCACCTGTGCAGTCGACGTCATCTAGCCATGTACGGCCAGTGCCAGGTCCAAAGCGAGCAGTGGTTACAGCTTCTGTAGCGTTACCGAGGTTCAGCATACGGCAAGCGACAATAGCGTCTCTGATGTCCCAACCATCGTCACAAATAGTACCCCAGAAACCTCGATGGAGAATCTGAAATGGGTAATATGAATTGAATTAGAACAGGACAGAACAGAACATAAAACAATATAGAATAGAACAGAACATAGAAAAGAACACAGAACAGAATATAGAACAGAACAGAATATAGAAAAGAACAGAACAGAACAGAACAGAACAGAATATAGAAAAGAACAGAACAGAACAGAACAGAACAGAATATAGAAAAGAACAGAACAGAACAGAACAGAACAGAACAGAACAGAACAGAACAGAACGCAAAGGAATGTGTGACATTCAACCAAACGTACCTCAATACGTCCCTCTAGACTGTCCTTTGCRTTACCAGCGAGCCTTATACCGTACGTTTCCTTTGGCGGGTACCACGAGCCACAAGTTGGAACACATGACGAGTTAAGTCTGTATAATGGCTTAGCACATGAAGTGCAGTTCGCAGCGTTACCATCACACGTAGCACAAGTGCTGCTACATCTTTTACACTCGGTTTTACTGGAGTCTAAAAAGTAACCTTCACCGCATCTACTCACACAAATACTTCCGTTTTTATAAAAACCGGAAGAGCAATTAATGCAGTTGGTGGCGTTACCAACGCAGGTGTTACAGGATGGGTCACACAACTTGCATTCGCCCTTACTGCTAAAGTAGCCATCCGGGCACTTGTCTTCGCATCTGCGCACTCCTGGTCCCGAGCAGCGTACGACAACATCTTCGTTATGATTACAGTTTGTATCGCCCCAAGGACGATGGACGCATTGTTCAAGAGCACTTTCACGYCCTGTGCAAAACATATCGTCTAGCCAGATTTTCCCAGTTCCTTTAGGAATGTTTGTGAGAGGTTTGGAGGAATGGGTACCAAGATTAAGTTGTCTAAAAAATTTATTGATAATTTATTAATTTATTAATACTATTAAAGACTAGTGTACAATTGAACTAGTTAAGGTTCGTTTTCATTAGCGACGCAAGCACAGTGGCAAGCGCAAACGCAATAAACCTTAAAAATAAATCAAACGCAAGATATCAAAACACTTTAGTTTTTGATCAATAGAGCTACTTACTTGCAAACGACCTTAGACTCCAAATAATCCCAACCATCGTCACAGATTGTCCCCCAAATGCCATTATGATAGATCTGCAAAAGCCCCTCAAGGTGATCTGAGCCGTTCATGAGCCGAACGGTTACTGATCCAGTAACATTTAATACAGGAATGGAAACCTTTCCRGATGAAGAGCAATTCGATGTGCAGACGCCTTTGTGTGAAACAAGAGGTGGTTTACACAAAACGCACTTTGGTGCGCCCTTTTCAGTATTGTACAGACAACTAAAGCATTCGCGTGGGCATGCAATACACGTGGAATTGAGCTCATATTTATAAAATCCAATAGGGCAGTCCTTGATACACTTGCCCTTGTGCCGGTATAAATCTGGCTTGCAGCTATCTGTGCATTCGCCATCTTTAAGAGCACGAGGCGCGCTACACGAAGTACAATTTTTCCCGTCTTTGCCATTGGCGCAGGTCACGCATTTTTTGTCACACGTTTTGCAAGTCCTGGTCGGAATGTGACCGTACATATTGCCTCCACAGTTATCCACGCAGTTTTTATTTTTCAAGAATTTTGGCGGCGAACAGCTCGTACAYTGRAATGGAAAACCAATGCACGTGGCGCARCGATCGAAGTTACACGGACGACAAACATCAAGCTGGTCCTTGTAAAAGCCGTCTTTACACCGTTTGACGCATTCGTTCGTCAGAGGGTTACCGGTTTGAGGTCCAGAGCAAACAACTCCGGCATCTTTAACGTGATAACAACGAGAATTCCACACGACTTTCTCGTAATCGCATTTAAATATGCTACTTTCAGAGCCGTTGCACATGAGCTTATCATACCAGATTCGACCTGTTCCTGTACCAAAAACGCCTCCGTTCGTTGCCTTTATAGCTCGACCCATTTTAAGCTGTCTGCAAACGACAGTTGCTTCTCTGAAATCCCAGGATTCATCGCACACCGTGCTCCATTCACCGCTGCGGAAAACCTCAACGCGACCTTCGAACGAGGACTTTCGATTCACTCCGCTTAATCGAATAAGCCGTTTTTGTCCGACTTCAACAATACTGCATTTTTTAACACAGGCAAAGTCTGAGAGGTATCGATCATCTACGCATCCTGTGCACATCGTGGCACTTTGTACGCATGTCCGACATGATGAATCGCACTTTTTACATACACGAGTCTTCGGGTCGCCATAGTAACCTTCTTTGCAGGTAAGGACGCATCTATTATCTGTGAAAATGCAGCGTTTAAATAGCGTTAAATCTAATACGAAAGTACAGATAACTTACAATGACGTAATGACTGGCAAGGTGATTATGTAATTAATGCTATACCTTCGAGGAACGTCGTTCCATCGCAACTTGCACATGAAGACGACGTGTTTGCACAAGTTAGGCATTCTGGATTGCAAACCTTACAATCATTACTATTTTCAACTGTAAAGTACCCAGGACCACACTTGGACACACARCGACGCGTAGAGTCTGGGCCAGAACAAATAACACCAGCATCTTCAAAATGACCACAGTTATGTTTTCCCCATGGCGCATGTGCACATGTGTCAAGCCTAGATTCGTTWCCAGTACATCCCACATTGGAGAGCCAGATAGGCTGATCATCTCTACCATAGCCCATTTTCCCTAGCGTTACAGCGGCCAATGCACTGCCTAGCATTAATTCCCGGCATACAACGTSAGCATCGTTTATGTCCCAGTCGTCGTCACATATGGTCCCCCATTTCATGTTCCGGTAAACCTCAACGCGYCCCTGCAATATTTGGTTCCCTTCTGAAATCAGCCGYAGTTTCCTCAAGGGAGGGCCTTGTTTTTTCCTGTCTGTGCACAAAGTGCAACTATTGTCTGCTAAATAATAGTTAACATAACAACTTGAGCACTGATCAGCCTGCGTGCCATCCAGGCACGTCTTGCAGCTCTTGGAACATGGGAGACAGGCCCCYGCTGCAAAGTTACCGTACATTCCGGGGGCACATTTCTTAACGCAGTAGAGACCGTTTTTGTAAGTTCCCGGTGGGCACTTACTYACTTCTGTATATAAGAACTTCCCGGTGCTGATATCGACTGTGGAAAAGATAAAAACAGAAAAAAAATCAAAATATTTCAATACATCTAAACAAAGAAATTAAAACATTTTGTGACCTTGCCTTTATCAATTTATATGACATACGACTGCTTTTTGGAAGATCCCGCTGTTTCTGCACGCCCGCGGGAAGTGACTCATACTCGAGATCCTAACTGAGCGAAACAAGGATTTCTTATCTGATCAGCACTTTAAAAGAGAGTTATAGGTCAGTGTTAATTTCCGAAGTTGTGCATTGCGTAGTCAAAGCAAATCGAGGAATGTGGTACAACGCAAGATAACCTTGATTTCAGACACCAAAATTATCAAAACTGTGCAATTCTGGCATTATAATTAATATCTGGAATTCCAGAATTCTGATTTTTTTAAAGTAAATTTATTGTTGTTGTTGAACTAAAGACTAAAAAACTACGAAGCATAGAACAATAACCTCTAGCAGCAGTATCGTTATTAGTGACTGGAACAATTTGGCTTCCACAGTCAAAGATGTCCATTCACATTTAGATTTTAAGAAAAAGTGATAATAAGCATATTTTTAATCCTTTTTCACTTCCTTTATTATTTATTTCCTACTCGTTGTATATCCTAGATTAGGTTTTATGGTATTTTTTAGCTCTGGCCTATGCTATAGATCACCAAACACCTGCATCAACAACACTATTGGCCAAACAAAATTATTTGCCAATAAAGTTCCTTGTTTGAGACCGTTTTACCCTGTTGGATTTGTATATGGTGTCATTTATAAAGACTTATAAAGTACCAAAGATTTTAAATGGAGTTTGAAGACTATCACAGTATCATAGAGAYGCAAGAGTTTTCTGGGACAATCAGCATTAAATCTCTGACAATGACCTATCAAGACCTAAAAGCTAGAAACTGTTTGACTTATTAGCTTTATGCTTTCATCAAAAAGCTTTCACTATAGGAGATTAAGGTTAAAGCAATACAGAGAGTTCCTTAAAATAGAAAATCACCTCCAKGTTGACAATACGAGCCTTGGCGGCTACACTGCACAGTTTATATTCCCTTGGACTCAAAATGATAAAAAATACTTAATTCTGAACTTCCCCTATTCTTGTTCCTGCTTATTCTTTTGTTATGTTTGAAATAGCTTTTGCCACTGAACATATTTACATGTTTTTGATGACTGATTGATGTTATATATTATATACTGTATAATTAATGTAACACATATGATATTTTAATCATATATTAGAAAAAAGTAAGTAAAATAATAATGCTATTTTGTGTGATTATGTGTGATAAAACCGTTGCCATTGCGTTTGCTTCCTTTCATTATCATACAAGTTCTCATTCAGAATTTGAATTACATTATAGCTTCAGAAATATGTCTGAACTCGATCAATTGTCAAATATGTCACAGCGGAAAACGAACACGCTGCTGAATAAATTTGCTGCACCTTGAGACTGTATGTGTGTATAAAATGTCTGTCTGATGCAAAAGAACACAGCTTATGTATCTATTCAAGCATAAATCTATTCTTACATCTGCAGATGTGTACTTAACATTGGTAACAYTGCATAACAAACACATGACTTTGATAGATCTACAAGCATTTGAACTTCTKCATGTAGATGCAAGTCGGGCCTTTAGTAATCGAAAAATATTTGCACATATAAATGTATCTTTCAGATTAAAGATCGATCGAGTCGTGATTTGTACACGAAGAAAACATATAAGAGCAAGGATGTACATTCGTCTAATGTTTCATAACTTGAAAAGTGTATCTAAACGAATAACTTCAACCGCCTATTTGAAAATCACATCTCTTTCACAGCATGCTCAAAGTAGGGCCAAAAATACACTGACATTCTGATGAATCTATCGATATCACATTCAGTTTAAAATCAATTCAGTCGAGTATTTATGTTTCAATTAAGATATTGCTCGAAATCTCTCAAGATCACGTACAAATGTTTTCTTCAGAAAATATCAAACACAAACACAAACTTGAATTTAGATATAGTCGTGACAATGAGACAGTTTAACGTACCAGTTCCAAGCCGATCGGCGCTGAGATACACAAAACAGCAAGTAAAAATCAATAGCAAACTTTCCAAGTGGCGATGTAACTTCGCCGCTTCTTCCATTGTTTATGTCTTTAGTGAATAACAACAGAGATCGACAGCTCTTTGAAGCTAAGAGGTAGACGTTTGGCTACTTTGTCGTCACACTACGTTGGTTGTGGCTCAGTAAGTACACACCAAAATGCCTTCAACAGGAATTCCACCACGTTGTCTTCACCCACAATGGATCGATTAGCGTGTTGACCTTCTTGACCACGAGGTCGTCTCCAAAGGGCGATATTCCAATCCCCTAGTGTCTGCGGTAGAAAAGAAGTGAATTATGTCGTATATTCGACTATCTTTTTTAGGGGTKTATAACAAAGCAATTTCTACTTTTAGAGTCAAAAATTGTTTATGCCATTTGGTAACATTTGCTTCCATAAAAAWAATTGCGCATTTTAATATCATACAATTGGATTCTGGGTAAAACTAGTCACCAGTCTCTTCCCACAATTGAGGCAAAATGGCGGATGTTGCGAATAGCTGACAACCGTTTGTTTTGATGAATTATTAGCTCRATTCACAGAAAAAGAAATCAATTAAGTTAAAGTTTGTTTGATTTRATAAATGATAATAGATGTCTTTGTTGAGAAAAGCTGTTAAGATTTCTAAAGATCTTCAGGGAAGCAAGCTTTCAGCTTTGAAAGATGAGATTCAAGGAATTTCTTCCCAGGTTAGTAGTTGATCGGCTGCATAAAATTGAACTCTAGTTCGTTTTCTATAAATTATAAGATGCTAGAATAGATTCTTGATGTAACTCCTGTTTGTTCCAATTTGCTTATTGTAAAAAGCCATCAGATATTCATCTGATACGATGATGGCGGGCTTGGCTCGATCTGTAAAATTTTATAAAAGCTTACGTACTGCAGGGGGCCTTCGAATAGTCGTAGGATGCTATGCAATTTTCCACAATTATGATGTATACTAATATTTTCTTTTTTAGGTTGATGAATTTTATCAACATGTGTTGAGCAACTCAATATCATCTCCAGAAAGGTCAAGAAATTTCAAAAAGTAAGAATTTTATCAAAATAAGCTTACATGTAAGCTTAATATACTTTGTAATAATTTGCAAAGAGATTGTCCGAAATAAGGTTGAATACATAAATAACAGTTGTAGAGTGATCGCACTTTAAACTGTGCAACTGTACAAAATCTAAGTAGTACTAATTTGTACTAAAAGTGGACCTGAAGCAAGACGTTATTGAATACTTCATTTGCACCATTTCAATTTAGTTTGCGTACAGCATGCACGATTTGCTAAATACAACTAAGTTTAAATAGAACTATTTAGTTATTTATTTGAATAGAACTATTTAGTTTGTACAGTTGCACGGATTTTAATTAGTGCAATCACTCTACTTAAGTTGTAAGAGAAATATGTTAAAAGATTTTATTGAAACTGTTAAGCCCAAGTGATCTTTTGTGTAATCCTTTTGCATAAAAGTATGTTTTATTTCTTAATGTTAAGCATTTAATTATAGGCATAAAACTTATGTATTGTGATTGTAAGCCRCGTGGCTGCCAATTGCGCCTTTAACRGCGGTCCGTGTGAAATGATCTATRCATGTGAAGCGCCTTTGAACTCAGAGAATATCRGCACTATATAAATACCACATATTATTATATTATATGTATTTTTAAATATCCTGGAGGTGTAGTCATATCATTTTATATCACTCATCAATATCATCATTATCATCATCACTATCATCATCATCATCATCATTATGATGTCTAACTGCATTCATCATAACATGCATCATCCCACTGACTGCACAAAGAGAATGACGTGATTCTGGTTGATTAAAACTAGAAAAACTGTGGATTAAAAGTGGAAAACTTTTAAAAACTAAACTGTGGAAAACTGAATTTTCTTATYATGGGCAGTTGTCATGGTGATAATCGGTCGTCAGGGCCAAGAATTAAGGAAAAGAAAGTATTTTGTAGTGTTTGCTCCTCGATGACTTCATCTGCATTATGTGATATAGATGTACAAGGTTGAAAGCACAGATAGATTCTCTGTCAAACCAATTAAATCAGCTTGCCAAGGTATTACATTGTACATGTAGCAATCTTTTGTAGTTCTTGAAATTAATTATGGATTTATATTATACTGTAATACAACTTTGTTTAATCTTGCACAAAATGTTCCTTTTTTTCCAACATAATTTCCACCATTTTTGTATTCAAAAATTTTGTTTTAAATGTAACCAGGCGAGGGACATTTGAAATTCATTCATATTGAATTTGACATTCTTTGTGTTTAGGATAATGAAAKCAGTCCCCCTGATGATTTTGAATCACAAAAAAAGATAGAGAAACAAAAGTTACWGGATTTGAAGGTACATATGTCATGAATAACTTAACAATTAATTGTCTATAAAATTAAATTACTGACTCTAGTTAAATAACACATCTAACATGCTGTGTTCACTCTAATTAGCATTCTCCTAGTATATAAAGTTTATATTATAGTAATTATATACATGATATCAAAGAGGCAAGATTTTGCTGTAACTCCGAGTTTCGTGCTACGCACGCATCAGACAGTATTTAATGATAAACATTCCTATAATAATGATAATGATAATTATATTTATATTATAGTAATTATGTTATTTTAAAATGAATTGTGTAATGATGATTTTATTGGATCTTGAAATTAACTTTTCATTTGAATGTTGTTTTAAACTTTGTTTCGCGCTAAAAATGATAATTTCGTTTACCGCCAAATATGCAAATAGATATATAATGCTAATTATTCGTGTTTGCTTTAGTCTCTGAGGCATATCACAAACATTCACAGCTTGATAAAGATCTAAATTTGTCTAATATTTGATTTTTTTTTGAATTTCTTAACACCCCAGACTTAATCATTCTAATTGGACATGTTATTTTTCTATTGTCTCTTGTATTTAAAATCATTAGAACAAGCATTTTTGTCATCTCATTCGACTTTACTAGTAAAGACAATTATTGAATGGTATTCACTAAATTTTATTAACATTTTAGGTTAGGTAAAAGATAATTTCATTTTCCACTTAGTTGCTTGGAGACATGAGTATTCAATATGTAAATTTTTGCTAGCACCTGGAACCAWAGGGCTGCATAAATTAACAATATTTGTTGACATTTCAAATCGATCTTTTGTAATCCTGAACTTTTCTTGATATGAATGGACATGATCTATACTTKAATAGCTTAAAATATCAATCTATGGAAACTCTTTGACACCAAACAATAAGGATTAATTTAGAAACAGWGTGATCTGCATTATTCTCAACTGTTACTTGTACAATGAATAGATCTGTGAGGTTTAATATAGATGATCAGGTAGGWCGTTAACAATGTTTTAACAATTGAAATGTGTGGTATAAAAGAGATGTCTTGCAGTTCAATGTTATTGTAAATCTTTAAAGCTGCTCTTTTTGTTCTCAAACTGTAATTCTTTTATACTACAGGATATGCACTCTTTATCATAATTGTTAACACTTTTTCTTAATAATCAAATTCACCAAATATCCAGATTGTGTTGACTGTTTTGTTAAATTTTGTGAAAACTGTATCCTTATTTGTTCATCTGTCTCACACATTTGATCAATTAAAATAATGTATTAGAATAAGAATTTGATTTACTTTAGACAGAGATAAATTTCAGAAAACCTTATTTATTGAACTGTAACATCCCTTGAGGTTGCTATAATCCAGTCTTAGTAGTATTTATCCCACCTAAATGAAAGCCTTGGCTGTTGTAGTTTTTGGGAATTAATTTCAATTCTGATTATTGAATATTTTGAAAATGTCATTTTTCAAGTGATGAGGTGCTCACGCTACACTGAAATTATGTAAATACAGTTGTTTATGTTATTACCTTATAGTTCATATTTAGTGGCTATTAGTCACTGTCATTCAACTGGAACGCATAGTACGTATAGTGCRCAAAGCACACTTAGTACAGCACATACTGTCCATAGTGAATGGGTTTATTAATAAAATCATTAGTAGTAGCTATTTCTAACTGTTTAAATATTATTGTATCATGAACTTGGRGATAAGTCATTGCTCTTACTAATACATTGATGAATTGTTCATCTGATTAGCTTTATTGGATTTTTTTCCTGACAGTCTCAAGTTGAGAAAATTTCCAATCAACTGGAACCAGATGAAGTTGAAGAGGAGTACTTCAGGTAAAGTGTACATGTATACATGTTCAGTTATAAATCTGCTGTCAGTAATGAAGTTTTCAACGAAAGAGTATGTTATACATTAGGCCAAGTTTCAAACCCCACACTCCCCACCCTGATCATTTTTTCTCAACAAGACTGCCACAKAAAGCCAGTACTGYAGTTGGATGTGAAGGAGGGTAGCTCTATAACTATGCATTCAGTATTTAACATTAGAAAAGCTGATGGCTTTGGTTTTATTCTAAAAAAATAAGGAAGATAAAGCAGAATGAAGTWCCAGGAAGTGGGAGTGAATTAACTGAAGATGATGACGATGCGGACCATGATGAAGCARATKATGAAGATGAAAAATATCTCAAAAATRATGAAAATGAAAGGTTTGTTGCCAMAATCATTTGGTTAWTCATTGATMTTTTTCCAAAATGTTGTTTTATTTGTTATTTATAATTTGACATTTTAGTGATGAAGAAGATGAAGAAAGTGAAGAAGATACCTGGACAGAACAAAATGATAGAACTATTGTGGTACAGACTTTAAGATAAATTTTCTTTGCAAACAGAATTGTACATGTTATGTACATATATCATTGTTACTGACATTTAGCAATCTGAAAAATGCCTAAGTTGATACATTTACACTAACATATAATAAAATAATAATACAAACCTTTTTGTCAGGTAAAACATGTTCAAGCTTTAAGCGACTTCCCTGGTGAACAGCCTGATGACTTGGCCTTTAGAAAAGGTGAAATCTTGACAGTTATTGACCCTAGGTAATATGACTTTGTTTTGATTAATCATATGTCTACTGTATGTTGGCCCACCTTTATCGTGCAAAAATTCTCTAATATTTTCCCTTTCTACTTGCATTTCCACTAGTATTGTATACTTATATTCTATTTCATAGGCACTTTCATTAGTTATTTATACTTAAAGCTGCATTTCTTTGTTTATTAGGGAAGACGGTTGGTGGGTTGCAGAGAATTCTTCAGGGAAAAAGGGAATTATACCAAAGACACTTATCAAGGTAGCTATTGCACCTTCTACGATGCTATRATTTAAAAAGATGGTCAAAAACAAAACGGTTTATGAAAACTGAAAGGTTCATAAGTACATGTATTYGATATTCGTTTCAGGTTTGGCCTTAAAACTCTTTTACTTGCACTTCTGCCCACCTTGTTCATACTTGAATAAATTCTCTAGATAATGCGTTTTTCTCCTTAGATTATTGATGATCCCAGCAACCCTCCAGAACCAACAAAAGAACAGTCAAATCAGCAGTCAAAAGAAGGTATATTTGACTACAGACCACTACAATGACCTGATAGCCTGCGTGGCGGCTCTAGTGGAGGGAGGAGGGGGAAAATGGAAGGGGAGGGGGAGCGGAGCCTCCCCACCCCCTCCCCTTCCGTTTTCCCCATCCCCATTCCCCTAGAGCCGCCACRCAGGCTAATGACCTGAAGACATTATGAGCAGACCCAAATTCAATTACCATTCACCACTTCTATCCTAAAAAATGACTTCCATCCTCTCCCCCTCGCCAAACAGCAGCAACAACAAAAAGAAATAAGCACTCTGTCCCCTCCCCACCCCCTCCCCCCAAAAAATAATGAAGAACGTTCTGTGTACCTTATGGCTTATTTTATTTTTCTCTTTCTTCAGAAGATGACCATCTTGGTGAGCTTCCTAGTCCAAGGAGAAGGTGAGACAAATTTATGTTGTTCCACATCCACATGAATTTGAGAGTTCATGGGGAGCAAGGATGGCCGAGCGGTTAAAACGCCGGTCTATCATCGCTATGGTCCTGGTTCGATTCCCGGTCCGGGACTATATGTGATTTGAGTTTGTAGGCTGGTTCTCTTCCTTGCTCCGAGGGTTTTTCTCCAGGTCCGCTGGTTTTCCTCCCTCAGTCAAAAACTAGCTGTGAGGAGTGTCGTATAGTAAAATAATGAATGTTGAGGTAGTGAGTATGAGTGGACATATAGAGGGCCACAAGTTTATTCGTCTAAGGACTATTACGTGCTACCCTCTCAAAACAAAATATTTTATTTTTATTTTTATTTTACTGTTTTATTTCAGTGGGAAGGATCTTTGGAAATCGCTTCAAAGAGGATCCAAACAAGAGGTACCATATATTCTAGTACTGCAAAGGCATTATAGTCATCCATTGCTTTCATCCGTTCTTCCTTTCCATCTTATTCCCTAAACATCTTAAATTTTCGCATCTATCAATTTCCCGCAATTTCAATTTTCTATCTTTTTAATTTTTAAAAGTCAGAACTTTCTTTCTTGTTGCTTTTCCCACCCTTCTTTTCTTCATATTTCTTTCCTTTCTCGCTCTCTTTGTTTCTTGTCTTTTTATCTTCCGTCTCCCTTGTTTCCAGCTTTTCTTTTCCCTTCTGTTCATTTTGTTGTTTCAATGTTTTATTGGATTCAGTGACTGTAATATAGCAGCATGATTTCTCGCCCTAAATACACATCTTCCGAACTCTTATTCAAATGAGGTGATAACAAGCAGGGAAAAAATGAGTAAAARTTGCATTGACTTCACCACATGTAAAATTCAGCACTTAAAATTGTAAGTTTAGTATATCGTTACTTTCGTGATGTGGTCTCTTCGAAGTCGAGACAGTTTTAAGAGGGATAGCACAGTGTATCATTAATTTAATCTCCGTAGAAACCGCTTCCCTTGACCGCTATTATGAATAATTATGRTATGTCAGGCAAACAGACAATCGCGATATTTGTTGACTTTTTGTGATCAAAACCTGGCGGGTCTATTCTTTCGTTAAGTCAGCCGCATATTGTGTTTACGACGCGCTATTCATTGAAACTTGTTTTCACATTAACCGCWATCATTTCCATTTTAAATGAAGATATAAAATCGTTTCAATTGAGTATTATGACTTTGCGTTCATCTGGAAGAAACTCGAATACTTAATAGRTGATCTTTTCGCCTAAACAAATATCCAAAGAAAKCGATAATTCTTGGCAGTTCGGGTTATGAGAAGCTAAAACATGGCAAGAAAAGTAACGTTTTTATTCGATAAAGATATCGAAAAGGCAATTCAAMAAGAGGTATGAAACAATTTATTTTCACAGGAAATATCGATTTTTTTCTTTTGTATATTAAATGTATTTCTTCTGTTATATTCTTCGTTTTTATGAAGGAAATGTCTGTATATTCTTGTTAAAACAATAATGTTTTCTCAGTTGCCTGTGTATTTTCGATTCAGTTTKTGAAAAATTTGGATGAATGAACTCAAAGTTTCGTGGTTTACAWTATTTTCTCGAGGGATTTTGTCATTAATGTTYTTTTTATAATGATTATTTCATTGTAACCTTAAGGTTTTTCCAAATRTTGCCTTTAAAAAATCATAAACCACTCAAGCCATATACTTTAAAATTTACACTATGCAGTGTTAGCATTTGATATAATTCAATGTTAAGAGTGTTTACTTGTTGTAGACGAGTGTGATATGAGAAATTATGCTTGCTGGACGGCTTTTATCTGTGACAAGCTCTATAGCCTCCGGTTTGTATAAATCTTCGATTTGATAGCCTAGAGTTTATTAATAAAATATATTGCAGCCCGTGATGGCTGAATTACATATTTTAGGAAAAAAAAGACTTACTTAGACACTTAAAAATACAAAATTATGAATTATTAAATACAGTATTAAATATGCCAATTGAATAATAATTTGTTATCAGGCGATATCCAGATGTGCGTTCTTGTCCATTCAGGAAAAGTAMAATAAATWTAAWTKTTTTTTTTWAWTYMARRAA